GATTTTGAGGTTTGATTTCCTTAAATACGCGAAAATTATGAAAACAAGCATTTTGGATGTTTATTGTTGCAATAGGGCATATTAAAATCTTGAAAGAACGACAGCTTCATTTATTGGATTCAGCAGTAACTAACCAACCCAGAAAAAATTTCTCAAGGCATCCAAAAATTCCTGGAAATCCTGCGAAAATAGAGACCTACACAGTAGCTAATCCATCATCAGTGACTAATGCTGATGCTGCAGAGGTCTGGATTACCTTTGGTAATATTGGAATATGGGCCACAGCAGTTTAATAAACGCATAGATTTTTCGTCACTGGTTGTACTGATGAATGGTTGCACGTAGCACGGAGCCACGAAGCGAATTGTTGCCATTGCTTGCACGGCCATTGCAGCACTGATTGCCGCTGCGACTATCGTAATTACTGAAATAAGCATATCTCAAACTGTCCCTTACCAAATAGTCTTCTAGGCCGATGTCTTTAGGCCCACTAAGGCGCTGCAAATTAGTGTGTGGCACCGCGCGAAAAAAGAAACGACCACTTGGGCGATCACTCAAGAGGTAGCGCACATACACGGAACAAGCAGTGGGTACTAACTGGAGGTATGCGTTCTAGAAATGAATCACCTAACATAGCTTTATCCGGTGTCTAGGAGCACTTCGGTAACATCGTTTACATGGGATTTTCAGCTTCATCGGCGCTCTCTATATTCGTTTTGAGGAGTTCAAACAAAATTTTAGCAGGCCGATATTACAAACACCCGAGTCGAGGGATCGCAAAGAAAAAATCCACTTATTCTGCAGAACACAGCCTTCGATACTGTGCCAAATAGTTCCATAGAAGGAAAGGCGTTTACTATTAGCCCAGGAGAAGACGTGTTTAAGCAGCTACGGTAGAAATTACTTTATTCTTGGCTGTTTTTTTTTTGGTTGAAATATTTTAAAGAATAAAATACATCAAATCTTGCTCGCTGGCATAACACAGTGATGAGGAGCACAGCCTCACTAGCGAAACGACTAATCGCGCACAGTTCGTTCATTTGTTTTGAAAGTAAATTTTTCCATGGATA